TCTTTCCGCCCACTAAGAAGTTCAAGGGCATTCTTCTCCTCGGTAAGCCTTTGAATATCGGTCTCATACCGGCTCAGTTCCGCCCGAGATTTGGAGAATGCCTCCTGATAAAGCACCAAATCCACACAGATAGAAGAAAAAAATTAGACAAAAGGGGAAAACGCAAGTATGATACCAGCGAGGGGAATTAAAACTTACCCGATTCAGAGCCTGTTGTTCTCAATGAAGAGACCCGGCGCTCCACCCGAATCTTTCCTCGATGTCTCCAAGTCGCTCAATCGAGGGATGTCCTCAATCCCAATAAAGCAACTACGGAAAAGGTCCTCCCCTCCATGGGCTCCTTCTATGGAAGAAGCCTTCATGGCCCGAGCCTCCTGAATCATCCCCTCAGAAAATAAAGGAAGCGATGGGGAATCTCCAATTTCAATTGCCTCAAGTGGGTCACTTGGGGTGTTCTCTTCATCTCGAAGAGCCTCGAGCTCAGCACCCACTGCCTCTTCAATGGCCTCTTCGACCCGAGGCAAAACGCCTTTCGGCATGGGGACTTGGTGCTGAAGCCTCCTCCTCGACCTCATCGAGCTTAGACCAATCGGTATCGATCCCCATCGGATGCTAGCTCGAGTACGGGCTACCATCCCTGAATCATCTTCTTTTTCTTTTTCTTGTTCGCCCTCTTCGGGCTCATCTCGTAGCCTGAGGACTGAATCCATTGACAAAGGGGTAACATCCCCCTTGTGGGTTCGCCTCTTTTTGTGTTTTGCTCATCCAAGTTCATGGAGCTCGAAACCTCTTTCCTTTTCCTCTCTTTCTTCTATTTCGGAGCAGACGATTGGGGAAGATTTTCTTCATCACCTGATGGGGGCCTCATCAGAACGTCTTTCCCAAGGCCTTCGGAAAAAGGGAAAATGAGATCAAAAGGGAACTTTGGACAGTGATCGGAGTTATCGGGTTATACGAAAACTTACCATGGGTTCGGGCCTCCCATCGACCCTTCGACAACTCACGTCACGCACGTTCATCTTGTTTTGATGTTGACACTAGGCTCCTGACCTAGTTCTCAAGATTAGGAATTGCACCCGACATCCAAGCAATGACTACATCAAATAAAACACCAGTAAGGAAAGATGAAAAATTAAAGACAAAGAACAGAAGTTGAAATTAGAGTTTTACTCACGTTTCATATTCCATTTCTCTAAAAATGGCATGCTTTCGGCCGGGATCAGGTCCGAGGTCTTTACTCGAACAAATCGGCCTATCCAACCCCGGTCCTTGTCCTCATCTATGCTCGCGAAGGCTGACTTGGAGGACTGATACTGAAGCTTTATTAGCCCCTCTCGATAAAGTTGGGGGCTATATAAGCATATAAGATGATCGAGAGTAAAAGGGAGCCCATAGACTTGGCTCGGAAAAAAACCGGAGTAGTATCACTATCCTCCAAAAAGAGGGGTGTAGTTGGCCGAGGGTGATCTCATACTTCTTGTAGAAGTCGATAATAACCGGATCCAAGGGGCCCAATGTGAACGGGTAGATGTAAACGCTCAAAACCTCATCCACAAATGTAGTGATCGACTCTTCGGGCGAGGGTACCACCACATGTTTGTCTACCCAGTTGCAGTCCTTTTTAACTTATTTTAAAAGGCCATTAGTAATTGTGCATATATATCTCGACATTAGCTTACATCGGCCCGGAACCGAGGAGGTTTTTTCAACTTTGAAATCGGAGCCAAGGACACATGGCGGAGGAAAGAATTCCTCAGTGCGTGGCTCCGCCGCTGGTTGTTCGCCGACCGACTTAGATGAGGAAGCTTTTTGCTTCTATGAAACAGTCATAAATATTTTGGCCATTTCTAGCTATATGGACAAAGAAAAATGGGGGCTAGGATATTTGGTGTTTGAAAAAAGATTAGTGATCAAACTTAGGAGATTTGCAGATGAATTTGAAGATTTGTAGATGAACTTGAAAGATGCAAAAGAGTTTTGAAGATTAGCACAAGAAGGATTCAAAGTAAAGTTTGAGAAAGTGAGAAGAAGACCTATTTATAAGATTCACGATGACGGTTCGAGACCACTAGTGGCCGACCATAAATTACATGCATTAAATGCCTGGGGATTGCACCGACGAGACATTTCAGTCACCTCAGTCTCTTACGTCACGGTGGCGACGTCATGATAGATCGGGGTATAGGTCGAAGGTTCAATTCGTTTCTTGTCATTATACTCCAAAAAACGAGGGGACTATCTGTATACGGTTAAATCGGGCTCACCCAATTTTAAGGATCGAAGATCGATCCCGTGATAGATCAGATCGAAGCACGAGGATAAGGCACCGAGTTCGGATTCGAGGTACCTAGCAAGATCGAAACCGATAATGATCGAGGTTGAGCAGGACAAACATCTAGCAAGACCAAACGGAAAGGCGAGATATTTGTGACTGGTCGAAGATCGTGGCGGAAATCTTGGAACATATCAAATCAAGGGCGGTTGTTTAGTTAATCATTGGATTTACTACTATAATTAGAATTGTACCATAGATAGGATTCATCTACTATATAAAGAGGGTTCTAATCATTATTAAGAGACATTGTTCTCACGTATCAAAGCAATATAACACTTTCTCTTTAGCTTATATTTTTGTTCATCAGCTTGTTATATTTTTAATTGTTCTTGCATCAATCAGTTCGAGGGTATCCATGCTCGAGGGCCGAATTCCATTCAAATATTGGGTTGCTTTATTTTATTGTCAATTTCTATTATTAATTTTCATACTCATCAATTGGTATTAGGTGAAATCACGTATCCTTAAAATCACATTATAAGTTTAATCGTTATCCAGTTTTTAGGGCAAACAAACCGCAGCGGCGGAGCAAGCCCATCAATTACGAGTTCGGTCGAACCTAGTAGATTTAGTTCAAACCTTGTATTTATTTTATGAAATTCATTGAATATGTACTAATTATTGATTTAGACTTAAAATAATTAGAACTCTGTATCCATAATCTTTAAATTCTGGCTCCGCCTCTGTATATAGGTTTAACAATATTGCTAGTTTGTTGTCCCAAACTCGCAGAGAAGCCAAATAACAATTGCTCCCTACCACTGAAGTGAAATACATAATCAACATTTTAGTAATAATACACCATCAGGGTGACAAAGTCAAAATTATTATTAAAGTGATTCAAAATATAAAAAAGTGAAAACCAAATATATGTATATTCAAAAATTGTCTAAGTTGGACATTAGGGTGTCGGCAAGTGACCAATAAAATTATATATCAGAGTTTAAAATCTCAATATCGACAAAAATATTTAAGTAATTTTTTCTGTCTACCTAATCATGGTGAGTAAATTTATCTCATACTTGCATTGCTCGGAGATAGCATGAATATCCGGTAGAATAATCAAGATAAAAAGTTAAATTGCCTGTGTAGTTTTAATTAGGGGTGTCAATGGTTCGGTTCGGTCGGTTATTTTATAAAATTTGTACCATACCAATTTTTCGGTTATTCTATTATATATAACTAAAATTAGACTTTTCAAAACCGTCCCAATCATGTCGGTTTCTCTTCGGTATCGGTATGGTTCGGTTAATTTTCGGTATTTTTTTAATATCATGTAAAATTCACCAGTAGAAGTAGAATTGCAATAACGTACGTTCTTTTATAGGACTTAGCAAAACTCTCTAGACATTTTTATTGTTTAAAGGGTGATGAATTTTTTTTAAAAAATATGGCTATAGTATAGATCCATCAACTATTCTACAACAGCGTAAAAGAAATCAAACAAAGGCAAAGAAAATATTAATCACACGAGTTGAAAGATATACCAAGTTGGGACTCAAGAATTTTAAGTCTATAGAAGATTAAATATTCAAAAAAATAAATCTAACTTATATGAAAGGAAACATATTCAATACATTATAGTTTGCTACTCATAATTGCTATAATACTTTGTGTCTTGCTAATAAAGATACTTGAAATAACTTAGTTTAAGTCGAAGTAGCATAATAGGTTTTAGGAATTAGTATTTTGAGTTTAATTACTTGTTGGTTTGTAATAGTTTTCATAATTCCAAGGCTGAAAGAAAATTTAATGCATTATTATTTTTAAACTTACTAAATAAATATATTTTCTACATGTAAAATTTATTCGGTACAGTTCGGGTTTTTTTCGGTTTATTTTTATAAAATAAAAAACCTACCCTAATTATCGGTGCGGTTATAAATTTATATAAAAACCTACGATTTCTTAAAAAGAAACCTAAAAATCGGTTCGATGCGGTACGATTCGGTCGGTTTTCGAATATTCATTGACACCCCTAGTTTTAATCACTATGATTGTTTTCAAGTAAACCTTTTTTCAAACAAAAAAAGAGAGCTGAACCAAAAAACAATCAGTTTCTGCTCTTTTAGTTCCTAATAATATTGAACAACTACAAAATGGTTAATTAATTTTTCTTTTAAAATGAAGAGAATTTCAGTACTGTAGAATTATTCAAAAAAAGAAGAAGCAAATAAAAGTATAATATTACATTTGACTATTAGCAATTGCAAATTAGAAATTGGAAACTGCAACAGTTATTGCACTTTGCGCCCAAATATTTGTTGGCAACACGTCTATATGTTCACCGGTAGCACGTGGCTACACGCGCCGACTCCGTTTTGTGGCATTTCCGGCCCCATCCTTCATCCAACGCCGTCAAAACTCGCCGGCGGTGACTTCTCAATGTCCTCTTCCGTCCGAATCGCCGTCGTCGGCGACGTCGTAAGCATTTTCATTTGTTACTGAAGTCTTAATTTGTTACTTTCTTTTTTATATTTGTAATTTGAATTATTTTGCTTTTTCTTTCATTTTTTTTGTAATTTGAATTGATTTAGTTTCTTTTTTATGGAAATGTTAAAAATTGTGAAGCATGATGATTGGAACCTAGAAGAAGATAGGAAGGCTCTTCAACTCTTGCAGGTATTTAGCTTCTTTATTTTTTTTTAAATTTAATTAATTACTCTCTACGTTACAATTTATATGATGGTGTTTGACCAAGCTATAAATATTTGGGTGGCTACAAATTATCTCATTAAAGGTAAAATATATAAAGTTTAAAGTTAAATTGTTTTTAAATAAGGAAGCATGACATTCCTTTTGGACAATCTAAGAAAGAAGGTGGACCACTTAAATTGAGATGGAGGGAATAATTTGTTTTGTTTTCTGGAAAAGTTCTTTTTTGTGCTAGAATTGTTGAGGTTTTGCTTATTGTCAATATGCTAATTTCTCGAACACATGAAGCATATTCTGTAGTTTACCAAAATATGCTAATTGACGAATTTTCGTACTTTGAGCTGACTTTGTATTGAGTTTGGTTCTATTAGCAGTTAAGAAGGTGGACAAGCGGAGCTCTAGATTTTGGTTTATCATCTCAATGAAAAAGCTCTTTGCATTGAATTGGTTAACTAAAGGAAGCCAAACTTGCTTTAATTTGAAGCTCTTGACTACCAATTGTTATTACTGTTAACGTGTCGCACCAAGAAGTGCACTAAAAATTCGTGGTATGGACATCGTGATGTCTTTTTCGTGAATGCTTGTTTCGTGGATCTCTTTGTCATGCTAAACTTGCCCCTACATTCAAACATTTCCTTGTGTAGATGTTGCGTGAGAGGACGGATAATGACAACTTATAAAGTTTTACTTGTCTTGCTTTTGCATCTTCTTTTCCTCTTGCTTTTTGTCTCTTGGAACTCAATCATAGTTGTATTTTGGTGTGTAACGCATGATTTTGTTGGCTAACTCTATCCCATTCTGCTCTTCAATTAAGGTAATTAATTGGACGGAAACAAAAATTATCACGATTAACAAAAAAATCATATAGTAATAATGTGCAGAGCATCACCCTTCCAGCTGCGCCTTTAGAGTAGTTCTAATGAATGATTCTCTGTTACTTATCAAACAAATGGTCTTGGCATACAACGTAATCATGAGAGATCGTGAAGTGCAAGCTTCATTATCCAAAACTAACTTCTGGGAGGATCCCTAGTTTTCCAACTTTTTCTTTCTTTTTATGGGACAATGGGAACTTTCTCTGGAGAAATCCTTTTACTTTTTCTTGTGTTAAATGTCTTTTGGTATTTTCATATCCATCTGTCAGCTAATGATATTTTTATGTGAAAATTGCAGCCAGATTTGGTGCTATTCACAGGCATGTTTTCTTGTCATCTCCCAGTTTATCCACAATGCATACTACATAGTTATAGTATCCTTAAACTACTATGTTCATTCACCACCAATTGAAATTGGAAGAATTATCAGTTCAATTCATATAGTCCTTGCTAATCCTTTACCTTATCGGAAAAAAATCATTGTGTCCTTGCTTCAGGGGATTTTGGGAATGAAAACGTGGATCTAGTCCGAAGCATTGCAGATTTAGAGATGACCAAAGCTGTTATTCTGGGGAACCATGATGCATGGAATACTCAAAACTTTTCTGGAAGGCAAGTCCAAGTTCCAGTTTATCCGGCTGCTTACACATATTTCCTCTAAATTGATTTGCCTGGCTTTAGTTTACACTTACCTGTTTATATATGCTAACACTTACTTTTTTATGCTACGTCTGATCTAAACTTGCTATCTTAGTGTATATCAATCGGATTCATCTTCTTCTCACTCCTTCAACTGTGCTTCAGGCATAGTTTATAACTAGATGTTTCTCATTTTGTTCCTGATTTATTCCTAATAATTCATCGTACCTTGTTTTGCTGGCCAAGCTCAACGTGTCAATGCAACTTGAAGAATTACTACCAGGATTTCTAGGTATCAGATTGTCATATGGAGTTGCATTCTAGTATCATTATGCAGTTTCTAATCAATCATGATATGTCACGACCCGGATTTTCCCACCCTTGGGAGTCGTGATGGCGCCTACTAGTGTGAGCTAGGCAAGCCAATCCCTTAAACTAATTACTTCATTATCCATTTATTTCTTGTTAATAAACATAAAGCGATAACGTATAAGCAGCGGAAATTTAAATTAAGCGGAAGAAAACAATAAATATCTGAAATTTGCATCTATTACAATTGCTTAAGCTTTAATCCCCAAAACCTGGTGTCACAGTACCACAGACGGTTTAAGACTGCTAAATACAAGGTCTGAAAATAATAGACACACTGTTTCTGAAGCAAAAAGACAAAACAGGGAATAAAAGATAGAGGAGACGCCAGGGCCTGCGGACGCTTGCAGGTCTACCTTGGATCTCCGCGGGGACTGAAGGTAGCCTCCAAACTACGGTCCAAGAGCTGCTCCGGGATCTGCACATAGTGCAGAGTGTAGTATCAGCACAACCGACCCCATGTGCTGGTAAGTGCCTAGCCTAACCTCGGCGAAGTAGTGACGAGGCTAGGACCAGACTACCAAATAAACCTGTGCAATTCAAATATATACAGCGAAAAGAAATACAGAAATAAACAGTCAAGTATGGGAGGGGTAGCATGCTACGGGGGAAGATATCAATTCCGAATAGAAATACAACAAGTAAACGAAAGAAACAATATAACTCGGATATCATCAAGGAATCAGAATCAATAAATGTACGGCATCACCCTTCGTGCTTTTACTCTCGTCCTCACCAAAGCAATCATATAGTAATAATGTGCACAGCATCACCCTTCGTGCTTTTAATCTCTTTCCTTACCATATAATCAATATAATCGGCACAGAATGGTACATCGTGCAGCACGGCATCACCCTTCGTGCTTTACACTCTTTCCTCACAAATCGTACACGGCATCACTTTTCGTGCTTTACACTCTTTCCTCACAAAACAATACATGACATCACCCTTCGTGCTTTAACTGTCTTCCTCACCCAAACAATTATAACAAACAATGGGGCAAGGAAAATAAATGAAATTTGCAACAATAATCCCGGCAAGGGAACAATAGTTCAACAAGTCCCGGCAAGGGACAACATCAATAACATCAACATCCTGGCAAGGGAGATAACTAATAAAGCAACAATAACCCGGCAAGGGGGGGGGGGCAACATAATGATCTCTTCTCTTTCTCACTTTACTTCACAATTCACTTCACAACTCGAGCCAATGCTCTAAAGGTTCAACTATCACTTATACTTTCACAATTCGTTGCACAACTTGAGCCAATGCTCCTCAATGTTCATAGGTCACAATTTCTTCCACAAACTTTACACAACAAATAGAAACCATCACCAAGGCATGAAAGATACAACGAAGTCATGATAATCACAATATAAGACACACGGGTATGCTGACACCAACGTATAGATACTCATCATCATGCCTATACGTCGTACTCAACAATTACCATATAACAAATAGGACTCGACTCAACAATTGAAATCCGACCCCAAATCGAGGTCAAATTCCCAAATAATCAAAAAGCCCTAACTCTACCCAAATCCCTAATTTTCTACCCTTAATCTCATATTTTAGGCCTAGAAATCTAATGGGTGTTGATAAAAATGGAAGAAAACGAGCTTAGGATTACATACCTATAAAGCTATGGTGAAGTTTCTCTTCAAAAATCGCCCAAGAGGTGTGGAGAAGAAGAAGTTGTGAAAAATGGTGAAATTCCCGTAATACATTCTGTTTTTGAACTTAAAAATAACTGGGCGGATTTTGGTCTATGCGATCGCGAAGAAAGGAATGCGATCGCATAGGGTAAGGGAGATTGGTCACTGCGATCGCGTTCAAGGCCGTGTGATCGCATAGAAGAAAACAGGTTCCCTTCCCAGGCTTGGTTTAATACATCGCGATCGCGAAAGAAACAATGCGATCGCATAGAACAAATTGTGACCTCTCAGAAGTTACTCTACGCGATCGCATAGCACAAAACAGGACCCCTGAAGTTTACACTATGCGATCGCGAGCCTTCCTATGCGATCGCATGGTACATAATAACTGGACACCAGCAACAGCAGAAAACCAGATTTTTCTAAGTCTGTATCACCCCGACACCTATCCAAAACTCACCCGAGCCTCGGGGCTCCAAACCAAATATACACACAACCTCAAAAATATCCTACGGACTTATTCGTGTAATCAAATCACCAAAATAACATCATGAACATCGAATTAAACCTCAAAATCAATGAAATTTCTCAAAACTAATTTAAACATCAAATTTTGCATTTAAGGTCCGAATCACGTCAAATGGATTTCGTTTCTTAACACACTTTACCGACAACACATATAAATCATATTGAACCTGTACCGGGCTCCGGAACCATAATACGGGCCCGATACCACAGGTTTCACATAACATTTCACTTTCAAAAACCTTTATATTTTTTCAGAAAACAATTTCTTTTAAAAAATTCATTTCTCGGACTTGGGACCTCGGAATTCGATTCCGGGCATACGCCCAAGTACCATATTTTCCTACGGACCCTCCGGGACCCAAAATGTTGACCGAAGTCAACATAATTCATTTTATAGCCAAAATTTATCATTTTCTTCACAGATTTTCGCATAATAGCTTTCTGGCTACGCGCCCGGACTGCGCACGCAAATCGAGGTGATGCTAGAAGAGGTTTTTAAGGCCTCGGAACACAGAATTTTATTTAAAAACAAGTGATGACCTTTTGGGTCATCACATGATATCTGAATTCATTAAACCAAAATCAAATTCTTTGACCATCCACGCGGTTGAGTTTAAAACCCAATGGATCCGTTTTACAGGAAAAACGCATGTTCTTATTCATATCCATTGTTTGTTGAAATTCAATCTCTTGTAGATATGTTGGCATATGATGTTAGTCGAATTAGTGTTGTGGCCTCTTAACAGTAGTGATGGGTAATGATGAATGGGTTGCAATAATAGTAACTGGTGAGTAGGATAAGTTAGCATTGTCTTTGGTGGTAGAGCCTATTAAAAATGATAATGAATTTAGAGGACGTTCTCCTCAAAAACATATCTATCCTAGAAACTTCCAGCACAGTTATAGACAACATAATGGCTTGAAATATGAAATATCAAAAGGACCCGAGATATTGTAGATTCATTGTTTTAATTTACCTTATCAAAAAAATTGTAGATTCATTGTTTCCTGGCCGCTGAGTTGCATGTCTCATTGGCGTATTATTTTAAGTTTGAGATGCTCTACCTCTCAGATTCTGTTTGCTGAATTGTAAATGTCATCTACTTGTTCTTTTTTCTTAGTATGTGCCTTCCAATTTGTAGGGAAAAAGATGCTGTTCAACTTCAGCTGGAATGGTAAGTTTTTCGAGTTATATAAGAATTTACTTTTGATTAATTTTTCTATATATAAAATAGCACGGCTATGTGTTCATTTGCGATGTTTAGGACTGTAAATTTCTCACTCTAGCATGGCTTTCCATCTTGTGTTTCTCACAATCTGTCACCCCCTCTGTCTCTAAAGAATGCTAAGATAGATGATAAAATAGGTTGCAAGATAGAAATTAAATAGCCAGGATTCAGAAAGGTCCTCGCAGTACATCCGCTGGTGCTTATTTATATAAGACACATGTATCAAGTAGGTTATGGGAAACAAAAAGTCATACGATCATGTTTATCTGCAACAATCTGGAGAATATTTGCTGTTAAAAGAAAACATGCAATCTAAACATAAAGAAGGCATCTCCTTTTGCACAGGGAATTATCCATATGCAGGTATTAAGAGGTGCCACAAGCATAAATCTCCAAAATGCTGCCTCTTCAAAAGGTTTACTTAAAGTTGGGAAATTATAAATTTAATTGCAAGAAAAAATTATTTGAATTAAGTTCTAAAATTTAGGTTTCCCACATTAGTCTTTCTTGGCACTAGGAGTGCTGACTGATTCCCTGTGAACAAAGATTGATCCTATGACTTGATTCTGGGACTCTGGCTCATGTTGCGAAGGTTTCTTTTAAATTTCAACTGTCTCATTTGCATGTGTTCGATAGTTCAATTCTTTGGATTGTGATTTTGTCTTGTCAAGTATCTAAAGCTACAGCTATTAAACTTCCTTGTAAACATTTCTACCTATTATCATAATTGAGGGGGGGAAATGAAGATTATGATTGATTGTATGTCAGGTCATAATCAAGGTTAAATAATGATATGACACTGGTACATATGCACGTTCTCAAGGACAATTTTTCTTCTCACTTTTCCTCAATCTACTGCTATCTGCTTAATGAGTAGAAAAATGAGTCAGACAGCCAAGTCCTTCTAATAACAGCGGGATTCTGTCTTCAGCTTTTCATTTTCTTTACTGGACATCACATTTCACACTATCTATTTTTTAGCATGTCTTATATAGTATAAGGACAAAAGACCTATATTGTAAAAGTTATCTTATTGGCGTACTGACAGCTTATAATGGTCAGTCTTGGTGATGAGCATGTTGGTTACCGTCGCATGGATCTCCCCATGCTAAAACTCAGTGTTGTTGGTGGACGACCTTTTTCTTGTGGTGGTAGGCCCTTATTTCGGAAACAGCTTCTGAAAGCAAGGTTTGTGGTCCTAATCTCTTGTTTGTTAGTTATTTCCTCTTCAATACACATTGACACTTTACCCTAACTTTGTGTATAATTGGTGAGTGTTGCTTAACCCGAGTATCTGAACATGTTTAGCATTGTCTATTAATTTGATGGACTAAAAATTTACAATTTGCAGTATCTGATGCATTTTGCACTTGAAGGTGTATAAGTGTGACTCTTTGATGTAGACATCGACTCTTCATAGTCTTACAAATATACATGCCTGATTCAAAAGTTTTATCCACAAATCCTTGATAATACTTTACAGGTCATCAACAAAATGCCTGAATTTGTTTTTGCTTGTCCTCCACATGTATTTTTGTTTTACTCTTCTACTTTAAGCATGTACTTATAGCATAACTATGAAACTGCCTGATATATAGAAGGTCCGAAACCTTGTAACCTTTTCCAATATTCTCTGATCAGAAACGAAAACCTTTCATATACCATTATAGTCTAAACCAATTTTATGACTCTAGTTCTTGTGTTGCTTGTTGGATAAACAAAAAACTTGAGCTATATGCAGGGCAAGGCTGAACAAGATCCCAGAAACCGAGGGAATAATCTGGCGAAAATCAAGTAGTTGCATAAATGTATTTAAAATCTTTCAATGATTCAGATCTTTTTCTTTTGAAATGGCAAGTGTGAATTTATTAAGCAGCACTAAGATGGTGCTGTGACGCTACATCCATAAAGCAGAATAATATTTTCTTCTAGCTATGCAGAGAACTAACAAGATCTAGAGGCGATTCAGCGTCATCTATAAGCTCCAGTTTAGACCAAGAGAAAAGCAAAAAAATGCAGTTAGCTTTCATCTTTAGTTGTTAAATGGATTATAAAACTCAATTTGTTATTATTTCTTGTGTAGTATGTCCCTTTCTTTTTCATTTGATCGTAAATTTTCATCTTATCTTATACATTGTTTTAACAAAATGGCACCAAGAACCCCCC